ACAGTCTTCTTTTTGGTAGTGCTGGGGATCAATTCTAGGACCTTCTACATCCCTGGACCCCCATGTAACTGTAATTGTTTCTGACACATTCTTTCTCTCTCTCTCTCTCTCTCTCTCTCTCTCTCTCTCTCTGTGTGTGTGTGTGTGTGTGTGTGTGTGTGTGTGTGTGTGTGTGTGTGTGTGGTCTTTTTGTTTGTTTTAAAGATCCTTACCAAAATTTTCCATTTTGTTCAGTTGTGGTTGACAGAGAAGGTCAAGGGGTTTAATAGTCATTCAAGCTTTGAGAGTGGCCTTCTCTGATTATCAACACAGTAGCCTCTAGGCACCCAAACAAACTCCTTTTGTGCATACCTGCAATGCCATAGTCATGTTCCCTGTGACAGAAGTCTTGATTACATTTCTGCATAGGTCTGTGTGGCTGCCAGCCTTTGTTTCCCCATACAAATTGGTTGTACCTGTTGTGACCATTCATATTTCTGTAACAGTTTTCTACATGCTTGGTTAATTGGTGTCACATTAGGGTCTGTCATGAGCATTCTTGCACTTGGCATTACTTTGATCAACAATGTGGAAATGTATGAAGCAGAGTCTCTTCCTATTGTACACACTCTCCATGTACCATTACCATGCTTGGATGTGTTCCATTTTCGCTTCTCTTTTTGAATTATAAGCCCCATGATTACAGGGGGGTTATTGTTGGTTGGGTTTTGTTTTTTCTTCAGGATCCTGCTGGGTAGCTTGGGTTGACCTAGAACTCTCCTCAGAGCTGGGGTTACAGGCAGGCCATCATGTCTAGCTTAGACCACATCTTCTTGGGCATCCTTGTAGTCCCAGAATTGGCTCAGTTCCTTGTACATAGTGCCAATGAATTATCAGATTAGTGAGCGGATAGGTAAATTAATCTTGTATATAGTTAAGAAATCCACTTGAGACGGATTCCCTTTTACTTTAAAACAAAAGCAAAACCTAAGTGTTCTGGGGAAATCTCTCATCTAAAAAGAGCATTTACAGTCTTTAATAAATTACAGTCTTTAATAAATTAGTCTCTCATTGAAGAAGTAGTGGGTTGGATTGGTTGAGTTCAGCCCAGATCAGCATGCTTTTTGAAATGCTTACTTGAAAAATACCGGTACTGTTGACTCACTGTTTGCACATGTGTGAGTGTTATTTATAGACCATGTAGCCTTGCTCAGCTCTTCACTTTGCTCATGCCTCTTCCTGAACTGTAGCTTCAGGCAGCAGTTATCACAGCCTTTATCAGTTACCCTTTGCTCTGTAAGAAACCACTGCAAACTATGTAGCCCAAAGCAGCTGCCATCTCACAATGTGGCTTGTCTCTTTGAATTAGGTTCATTTGGGTAGAACTTCGTAGCTGGACTCTTGTCTTTGCTAAAGGCCTTCAGTGTGTGCCCAGGCATTGAATTGACTCTGTCTCTTTAGAATTACAGTGCCTTGAAGGTCTCAATAACTTCACACACAGTAAGTACTCTAGGCCAAAAGACATCTTTCACATTTCAGTTTATTAATTAGTTGAGTTTAGACATCTTAAGTATATATGTTGTAGCAATTTATTAGTCATTTGAAGAGTAGTAGACAAGTTGCACAAGCACTATTCATTCATACATTTAGACAAGTCTTGCTATATAGCCAAGGCTGCCTTAAAGTTGTAATCTTGCCTCTGTCTCACAAGTGCTAGGATTCCAAATGTGCACCTGTGCTTCATGTGTGACTACTTCATTTTTAAAAAAACTACAGTTACTGATGAGACCTGTGTATATGTTTGGTACCTCACAACTTCACCTTGGAATCAGGATAGGTGCCCCTCCTGTGTCCACATTGGCATTCACAGTGTTGACTTTTTATTCAGGGCATACAAGAGCTTAGATTCCTAGAGGGATGATAACCTGGAGGGATTCAGAGTGATGTAGTGTTAAAACTGTGCTTCTGGTCTAGTAGTTTGCTCCTATCTGACTGATATTGAGTATCTTTGTTTCCTGCAGAAAATCAAAACACTCTGCTTCATCCCTGTGAATTTTCTATGCCACCCAGGGTACCTCAGTACACATTTAGGAACCTTGAGCTCATCAGTTAAACATCTTTAATACAAAAGATAATCATTTGAGATCAGCACTGTCTACATTTTATGATTAAAAGAGAGGTAGTCACATGCTTATGTTGTTTGCTCAGAGACACAGGCTGGCAGTGGCTAAGTTGAAATGTGACCATATGCTGTAAATTCACTTTTTGTTTTGGTGTGTGATCTGCATAGACCACAGTGTGTAGTGTGATTCCTCCATCACAGAGTATTTAGGACTTTTGAAGCATTGTTTGTTTGTTTTGTAAAGTGAGTCTCACCATGTTGTTCGGGCTGATGTCAAATCCCTCCTGAGTAGCTGGGACTCTGTGTTACTTAAGGACTTTTTAACCATGTATTACTGACTAGTAGATCTTGAGTTTTCACGCCTCTCTTTATGTCATGGTCTCTGTGTCTTCATTATTGAAGACCATAAGGGTCTGATTCTGCCATGGGGTGAACCTGCTCATCATGGGATACTTCCACAGCACATCCTCCAGTTATGACAAACAATTATGTCTTTAGGTATTGCTACATGCTCCCGAGTGGCAACGTTGCTCCTGGTTGAGAACCACTACTTAAACTGAAGAATGGCTAAGCTTATGTAATGAGGATTTTCATAATTGTCTCTTCAGTTTGGCCCTGTATAAGCTAGTTCTTAATTTTTAAAGCCTGATTAGTTGTATTTTCAAAGCTTTTCCTTTGTCAATCCTCTTAACAGCAAGTCCTGTAAAGGAGTTTTGATTATAAAACTACCAATAGTAATGCATAGGTGTTATTTTAAATTTTTTCCCCCCAAGACAGGTCTCATGAAGCTCAGGCTGGCCCAAACTCACTATATAACAGAGGCTGTCCTTCAACTTTCAGTCCTTCTGCCTCTACCTCCAAGTGCTAGGATTTCAGGCTTGCACCCCCTTACCCAATGACGGCTTTTAAATCAATGTTGATTGGCTTTCCAGACCTGGATGTGCTCGTTCTGTAAGCATCACACAAAACACTTTGAACCTCCTCCCATGTTCTCTTATCAAAACACCTAGAAGAAAAGGAGGGATGCAACTCCCATGTTGTGGGCAAGTCCTTCCTGTCATCTTCTCCAGGGAGCGCTGCAGTGTGCAGTGCTTTCTGCTTATTCCGTGGTCTCTGGCCACTGCTGGATTTCATGAAAGTGTCTGTTTTCTCAGACTAATAAAACTTTGGAACTTGCACTGAGTCCACGTCCCCCACGGGTCCATTCTGTTCTCTGTGAAATAGTGGAGAGGCTTCCTCTGAGGACAGACAATGGGCCTCATATATCTAAACAACTGGAACAGTTCCAGTCCTCAGGTTCTGTCACGTCAAAGGCTCAAGGTCATGTCCAGGGCTTCCTGCCTATTGTGTGGAAAGCCTACCTGACACAGGCTGGGGCTTAGAGCCTCTGATCACTGGGTGCATTCACATCTGCTGTCCTTGGGCACCGTTGGCTTTTTGCTGTTTCCATACTGGTCCCAGTAAGATAAGTGTCTTCCAAACCGCTTGGTTGCCTCTTTCCACCACTGTATTCCATATTAGAGAACTGCATGCTTCAAAGTTCTGTTGTGTGTCTTTTGGGTTTTGGTCAGGAATGGAAAAACTCATTCAAGACTTGCTTCCTGTCAATGTATTTTTTTAAGAAGGCACACAGGCATATGGGAATTGTTTGTTTCTATTACAGGCAGAGAGGTACTTTTGTATTCTTTATATTATTTTCTTGATCCAGCACTGCGGTACCCTGGGGCTGACTCTGGGTTTCCTGTTTGTCCTTTATTGCTTTACTGACATCTGAGGGGTTCCCAGGAGGTGTTTATATTTTCTTTCAATATGTTTGACCAAATGGGCTGATGAAGACGAGAAGGGGACCTGCTTACATGCTATAGTTTTTTCCTTAGTCCTGGGAATTGAATAGGGTTTTATACACGCTAGACAGGCACTCTGCCATTTCCAGCACCTTTTGTGAGGGTTCTCAGATCTGGAATGTGAGTCAGTAGCAGTGGTTCAGGATGGCTGTTGTTTATCTCACCTTCCTACATGGTCTGTACCAGTGAGAAACAGTAAATAAGGCCTGTTTAGAAACAGCATTGATCTGGGCATGGTGACACACACCTGTCATCTAGGCACTCAAGCAGTGGGAGGATTGCTGTGAGTGCAAAGCCAGTCTGAGCTAAAGAGCAAGGCCTTGTTTGAAAAACAGACAAAAACCAATCATTCAGTAATTGAAAGAGTTTCTAAGAACACACGAAGGTATCAGGACTACATTGATGACCCTCAAAGGCCAGTGTCATGGCATCCTATCCATGATTTTGTAAGTGTAGTCTCCAGACCGGCAGCATTAGAACCACCTCGGAATGTGCTAGTAATGCAGACTTCTGTAGGGAGGTCTAAGCAATCATAACTCTGGGTGACTGTGATGGTCCTAAAGCTTGAGAACCACTGCAGACACCATTCCATCTCACCTCTGGCACATCTGAAAACTCGTGTTCTTACTCATTTGTAAATGCATTGCTACATAAACTTCTTTTTTTTAAACATAACACATTACAATGGTGTAGTGTTTGTGGAACCACCCACCCAGTGTTTAAATAGCTTAGTCTTTGACTTCTTAATTCCACTCACATTCCTCTGCCTTGAAGAAGTGACTGACAGGTACTCATCAGTACCAGAATGCTCATTGCAGTGTCTCAAATGGAGAAAATTTGGCAATACCATATGTCCAGTAGTAAAGGATTGGCTGAATACGAGGTGTTTTTGTTTGGTGATCCCCTATGTCCCATAGTGAGGGATTGTGTTTTCCTTTCAGTGGCACACTAGAAAATTACTATAGAAAACGGTGGCCAGGGCTAGGTGTCCTCTTCTGTCTTTCTCCACCTTATTGTAGCAAGACAGGGTCTTTCACTGAACCTAGAGATTGCTGTTTCAGTAATAATAATAATAATTTTAATTAATAAATATTTTTATTAGTATTATTATTTTGTTTGTTCTGGGTTTTTTTTGGGATAGAGTTTCTCTGTGTAGCTCTGGCTGTCCTGAAACTTGGTATGTTGAACTAGATTGGCCTTGAATTCACAGAGATCCAGCTGTCTCTGCTGCCCAGGTGTTAGGATCAAAGGTGTGCACCACCATATCTGGATTAAGTTACTTTTATCTTGAAAAAGCTGTATCTAGGTTGGAGAGATCCTCAGCATTAAGAGCACTTGCTATTCTTCCAGAGGACCTAGGTTTAGTTCCCAGCATACGAAAAGGTGGCTTAAAACCATCTGTAACTCCAATTCCAAGGGATCTGATGTCCCCCTTCTGGCCTCTGAGGACACTAGGCATGACCATGATATACAGGCAAAACATCCATACACATAAAAATTTTAAAATAACCTTTAAAAAAAGAAAAAAAAAAAACCATGTTCATTAAAAGAACGATATCATTGGCTTGTGTTGAAATGAGAATTATTATTATTATTATTATTATTATGTCTTTACAGATGGGCACATGCTGGATTCAAAGAGATATGCCATCATTGGAGCAGATCTCCGAGACCTTTCAGAACTGGAAGAGAAACTAAAGAAATGTAACATGAATACACAGTGAGATTTGTTTTTAACCCCTTATGTGTTTGTGATTTCATGCGAGTTATAAGATGTAGTAGTTAGTCATTAGTACAGCTTAATACTCGCCTCTGGTCTTTATTGTGTCATTGCTACTTACATAGTTTTTTGAGATTTTTGTTTGTTCATTTGTTTGTTTTTGTTTTTTGAGACAGGGTTTCTCTGAGTGGCTTTGGTTGTCCTAGGACTCACTCTGTAGACCAGACTGGCCTCGAACTCAGAGATCTGTCTGCCTCTGCCTCCAGAATGTTAGGATTAAAGGCATGTGCCACCACTGCCTGGCGTTTTTTTTTTGTTGTTGTTGTTGTTGTTTTTTTAGATTTCAAAGCAGTCTTTTTCTCAAGTCTGCTTTTCACCTATGACTCCTTTTAAAAATGCTGCCCTAATATAGTACACTAAGTGTGAGAGAGCCTATAACTACATGTAAAGGAGGAGCTACTGTCTAGAATACATGGAGACCAACGTGTACCAGGCTTTTTCATTTTCTCTTAGGCCACCAACCAGCTCCCAAATCATGACACAGAGACTTCTGATTAGTTATGAATGCTCAGCCTAGCTTAGGCTTGTTTCTTAACCAGTTTCTTATTAGCTCTTTTAACTTAACCAGTTTCTCTTTATCTACCTTTTCTTTCTGTATGTCCTACTTTTCCTGTTTCTTCTGTGTCTGTCTGGCTGATGGCTGCCTGGAAGGCTGGCCCTGGGTGTTTCCTTCTGTTTCTCCCTAGTTCTCTTCTCCTACTTCTTCTCTCTTTCTTTTTTGCCTAGATTTCTCCTCCTATTTATTCTTGCTGCCTGCCAGCCCTGCCTATCCTTTCTCTGCCTAGCTATTGGCCATTCAGCTCTTTATTAGCCCAGTCAGGTGCCTTAGTCAGGCAAGGTGAAACAGCAGCACATCTTTTCATGATTAAACAAATGTAGTAAGTATAAACAAATGTAACACATCCTTACATCGTTAAACAAATGCAGCATAAACAAATGTAACACATCTTTACATAGTTAAATATTCCACAACACCAGTGCTCATAAAAAGTGCTTCCATAAATGACTGAAGATGGGTGGATAGTGAATGTGACAGAATGTCAGGATATATGATGCATGCATATCACCCAGGGCTATCAAGCCACAGTAGCCATCAGATGAAATTCTGGTTTTCTCCTACCAGGGTGGCAGAATGTAAATATGGCTGTGTATAGTGTTGGTAAGGATGTGGGTGGTAGGGAGTAGGCTGCAGTGACTCACCAAGTAGGAGCGAACTGGCTACAAGCCGTGGTGAGGCACACAGGAAGTAGCAGGCAGAGTTGTAATGTGATACCAAAGTTCCACTCTGGGTGTATTTTCCAAACACGGTGCTGTGCTTAAGGTGGGTGGGTGTTCATTGCAGCAAACGGTGTAGCAGCACACTGGAAATGCCTACTCGAGGATAGTGGATGAATAGAACTTGGAGTGCATGACTCAGATCAACATGGATGTAGCATGAATCTTTGGTCTTATTAATAAAAACAAACCTGGAGCCAGGTATTGGGGTCAACGCTGGAAGATCAGAGAAGCAGAACAAGCCACAGCTTCCTCACCTCGCAATTCCTCAGCTGATCCTGTTTCCTCAGACTGGAAGCCTCTGTGTCTTTATCCAAATGGATCTCAGCTGAACTGCTTCTCGAAAGCCAGAAAGCTTAAGCGACCTAGTTCCTTATATATACCTTATATACCTTTCTGCTTTCTGCCATCACTTCCTGGGATTAAAGGCCTGAGTCACCATGCCTGGCTGTTTCCAGTGTGGCTTTGAACTCACAGAGATCCAGATGGATTTTTGCCTCTGGAATGTTAGGATTTAAGGCGTGTGTGCCACCATTTTTTGGCCTCTCTATATAGTGGCTGTTCTGTTCTCTGGCCCCAGATAAGTTTATTAGGGTGCACAATATTTTGGGGAACACAATTATCCACACATGGAGACAGCTCAAAATCTAACAGTGAAATTAAAAATCAGGTTGCAGAATAATGCCCTCATTGTGAGACCAGATGTGTAAAGCTCACACCTCCAGATCACCGTGTTTCCATAAGCATGTGCTTACATTGCAGAAATGGCTTGTAAGTGATGAGGGGAGAAGAGGGGAATGATGGGTGGATTTAGAGCCAGGATGCTGGTCAAAGTCAGACTGCAGCTCAGCACGTGGTGGGAGGTGTCTGCACAGGTGAAGACAGCATTGGGGTGAATGTTTGAAGTTAGTACACAGGAGCACGTTTAGAGGGAAGATGTGGTGCAGGGGATGTTACTAAAGAGAGTAAACCAAGGCAAAGCATCCATTGCAGAAGGTAAGAAATGAGCAGCTGGGGAAATGAGTACCAGGACAGTGTATTGGGGATAGAGATGAGGAGATGCAGAGCCTGGGCTGAGCTTAGCCATCCCTGGGTTCTTCTAAGGTGAGAGGAGGGTAAGGTTTAATGGGCATTAAACATGGGCAAGCTCTAGGAGACAGATGGAGAGAAAGGGGAACATCAAGTCTTTTTTTTTTTTTTAAAGATTTATTTATAAAAAAAAAAATCTTTAAATCCATAGTGTTCTGTCTGCATGTATGCCTACAGGCCAGAAGAGGGCACTAGATCCCACTACAGATGGTTGTGAGCCACCAAGTGAGTACTGGGAATTGAACTCAGGTCATCTGGAAGAACAGGCAGTGCTCTTAACCACTGAGCCATCTCTCCAGCCCCCTTCATGAATTTTCTAACTCGTCTACTGTCAGTGTGGGAGCTGGTGTCTGCACATTGAGACTCTTCTTGACCTATTCGGCCTAGACTCAGCAGCAGTGTTATTCTTAGGACTTGTAGGCTCACCTGTCCCATTTGAGAGCTGGCTTGTGGGGGACCAGCCCCCACACTTATTTACCCCAGGAACTCTTGAGGATTGAGGGGTAAGAGACTTACTTAGAAATAGTGAGGCGAGAGAACAGAGAGAAAACACAAGATAGACTTGGGTGGGCCTGGATCCTTATCCAAACGGGCCCAGAACTTTATTCCAAAGGTCT